AAACTTACCTATTTGGTTAGCCCAGGATTCTCTAAACGTACGTGATCTGAGTCATCTTTTCATGTAACACCTTTTAATACCTACAATTTAAGAAAATGTGCTTGGATACATTTTGCTTTCTCGACTCATATCACTGACAAGCTTGATAATTATGCATTTGTGTGTTTTTGTTCATAAATGTACTCATTCAGTATGTTACTGTTCGTGGAAATTTCAAATGGGCTGAATAAAACTACTGCCATATAAAAGGCTTGAACTCGAAGCCCTGACTCTCATACTAAGTTTAGCTAAGCAGAAAATAGTCCAACCCTTGATGTCTTAAGAATATTTTGATACTTATTTCATATCAAATAGTCCAAGCTGAAAAGTGTATCAGTTGACCATTGAAACTAATTACCTGCGCATCTTGGATCTGCTCCTCCCTAAACAGGGCTTCAAAAGCTTGCTTGTCATACACTTTTATGGTTTCAGTCACCCGATCTCAGGCATGACTCATTGTTCAGGCTGGGTCCACTGAGGAAGTGACCTCTGGCTGGAACCTGGGTGACTTTTTTCAGGAAGCCTCCTTAGCATCAGCCTGGTACTGTGGCTGGCTTGTTGACTGTTCTGTCCCGAAATGTTTGTTGAATGAAGAACTGAATTGGGCACCAGATATCAAGTGCATCTTCTTGCTCTCAAAGTCACTGACGAGAGAAGGGTGTTAAGAGTCTCGACAGGACTTACGGAGCCTTTGCTAAATGCACTTCTGAACGCTGTGTGCTCTGAGCTGAAGACTGAGCTTCAGTGACCGTCCTGGAATTCCTTTTTAAAAGAGTGTCAAGGGATCAAGAACCTAGGGAATACTGGGAAAATAAGAGTGAACAGCTTCGGAATAAGATGTGTTTCCAAAGCCATGGCGGGTGGGGGGAGGGGCGGGGGGGGAAGTACTTTACAATCTTCAGTGAGCACTTTAATGTTTGAATTTTTACAAATCATTGAAGTTGTAGTTAGTGCGCTTTAAGCTTGTGTTTGTTGTTCCTTCGGCCTCAACTGGCCTGCCACTTCTCCACCAGAATCTCCGTTTCTCTGCGAACACAGGTGCCTCCCTTTAGCTCAATGCGATGGGAGGGGATGTGTCTCCCAGAAGTGCCATGTTAGTCTTGCGCAGCTGGTAGTGGCTTTTCTTTATCATGAAGTAGTGTTTCGATTTTAGGCTTGTCTGTATCACTCAGTAAATAAAATGTTTGTCTGTAGGTGCCCTACATTGCAGCATGCTGTTAGTTTGCACAGATTATAGGTGTTGGAAACACTGCATGGTGTTAATATCACGGTGCTCACTCCTGTTACTATTGCCAACAGGTTGAGGCTTTAAGAATATAATTAAGGCGAAACATGAGTAAATATGATAGCTTCTAAGCCAGACAAAGCTGCTGAATATTGGATGAAAAGCATACTTGAGGTAGATGAAAAGTTTTTTCCCTATACACCGTTTCCTTTTCTTGTGAAAGCCCCTGAGCGGTTTGGGTCTTGTTTGCTTAAAGGTCAAAGAGGGATTGCCCCAACTCCCTTGGTCACGGCTCTCCTTCGGTCGCCTTTGCATCCTGCCTATTCTGTTTGACATAAGGTAACTTGTCTGTATGTTTGTCTCATGTATACATTTTGAACAAAGGAGTTAAGGATAAAACTTTATGGTAATTTTACGGTAAATTTATGGTAATTTTTTGACACCCCCCCCCCCCTTACACACACACCTAGGATCATTTTTATTTACAGTTTAAATATTAGTCATTCTGTTTTAGTTGCAAAAGTCCATGGCACAGACCTTATATATCCCATAATATTCCAACAGGCATATAGAATTATGATAGAAAATGTGTCAAATGGAAAGTCCTATAGGCTGTATTTAAAAATGCCTTTGGTATCTAACATTCTCCACATTTGCTCTAATAAATGGGAGGTTTTAGCAATGCCCTATATGGTAATATCAGATGTTAATGGCATTGATTACCTGTCAGGCAGTGGGAATTGATGGGAAAATGTCCGCTGTAAAATTAAATAGCATTAGAGAAGACTGTACCATGCATGGGCGGGGTGGGGGGGCATGGCTGGGCCTGGGAGACTTTTGTCAGGGTATTACTGTGAGCTCCAGGTTTTTTCCCCCACATGATTAAGGCAGGCCATCTGTTCTTTGTTAAATGTTTACAAAAACAGCTTTTCTCTAAAAGATTTAAGGAGATGTGGGTCTGGTAAACACTATAATATTTCTGAGCACCTTTCCCACCCTATATCATATAGTACCAAAACATAATTCTGCTGCGTATCAAATAGGATTAATACCTTTTTTGTGTTTACTCTTTCTGTTTTTTTCCTTCTTATGGAAGATTAAAATTTTTAAGGGATACTAATTTATGGCTTCATTTGTTACTGAAAAGGGCATCTGAAATCATTTGTATGCTAGAGTATGTAGATAAATTTTCAGTCTTTTTGTATTAGATGTCCTACGCATTTTCTAGTTCATAAATGTGTACCAGGTATTTGTCATTAGAAGCTGGCACTTTGTGACTGGGGTAAATGCCATGCAGATTAAAGCAAGGTACACATACCTGGGATGAATTCACTATTCTAAGCTTTAAGCGTTGTTCACTGGTAGACTTTTCTCTTTGCTTCCCTTTCCAGGAAATACTTTTTCTTCCGTTTCCTGAAAAATAGTTTATCCGAAATAAGTTTGATCTCTAAGTCCCTTGGCGGGGGGGGGGGGGGGGGGGGGGGGGGGGGGAGAGAAAAAAAGATATGGCGTTTTCCTTTTTATTTACATTAGAAAATAATATGTAACAATGAAACTCAACTTCAGCAACTGCAGTGTAATCACACAGTTAAATCAGATCCTGTTAATTCTTGGGTAATGGTGCCTTGGACAGCGCCTTGGCTGACATTTATTGGGGGTGCGTGTGAGGGAGGAGCGTAGGGAGAAGCTAGCTGTTTTCAGCGCTGGGTTAGCCGTGTTCTCTCTGTGTGGAGGCCTGCTCACAAAGACTCCCACCTGTGTGCCCTTCCTCTCTTTCAGGTTCATCCTCTTTCAGCTGTCCTAAGAAAGGGCAATCAATCCCTATTTTAAGATTTTCTAATACCATTGGATTTTGAAAGCGACTTTGGAAATCATCTAACCCAAACCCTTCATTTTGCAGATGAGGAAAACGAACCCTAGATGAGAGAAATGATTTCCCACTGATAATATAGCTCATGGCCGGGCCTGCACTAGAATTTGTGTCTCTTACCTCACAATTCTGGACTCTGTCTCTTATACTAGTGCAGATGGAGAATTGAATGTGGGTTCCTTTAGTAACCATCACAGGGCTTAGTGGGAAGAATATAACCACTTTGTTTTCAGGTAGCGATGTCTTCTTAAAAATTTGGGGCGGCGGCGGGGAGGGTCACTGAAAACTTTGGAAATCAAATGAAACCTGAGAAGCCTTTCCCGGAAGGAGGCCCATACGTAAGATTTGAGGAGAAGCGCAGAGTCAGAAGAAAACTGGTTTAGAAAACCTAGATTCAAATCACAGCTCTATCTCCTGCCGTGTGGCCTTGGGTGATCACATAAGCTAGTCAAACTTTACTTACTTCCTTTCTGAAAGATGGGGGCAGGTTATCACATTTTTCTCTGAGAGTCAAGTGAAGTAACTCCCGAAAGCACCTAGCCCAGTACATGGCATGAAATAGAGGCTCAGTAAGTGGAGGTCGTACCGGAATCTAATTTATAGTACTTTGCTGATGGTAAGCCACGGCTTCTGGGTTGCTCCTGAGTCCTCTGCAGACCTCGACCGGGACTCTCCCACCCTCTCCCTTTTTTGGAGATGGTGTGATCAGGAGGGAGGGCCTGTAACTCCTCGGGCACGCTACCGCATCCTAGAGCGTCAGTGTCCACACATAGCTCCTCATCGGGGCCGCTGTGCGGATTGCGTGGTGTCAGCGGTGTGAAGTGCTTAACACATGCCTGGCACATGGGAAGATTGTTCAGTGAACACTAGCAGCCATTATTACTGCCGTTCCTATTATGGTTACTGTTGAGTGTCTGGAGAAGCAGATGACGAAGGCAAAAAATTGAGTGATATTGCAGATACAACATTTTAAAGTAATTTTGTTGAAATGTAAAGGTTCGTTAGATGTCCTCATTTACAGTGGAGATGATGCTCTACCCCTGTCCTGGTTTGGAGCAGACTCTGATCTCAGCTGACCACTGAGCATCCCATCCTAATTGTTGGTGTTCTCTACTGTGTTTTAGCCCATCTCTGGGTATACGCCTAGTGAGTGTCCAAACTCCTCCTGCAGGGTGTACCAGCTCGACTATATGGGTTTTCTGTTCTTCAGTAAAATTTGAAACTGTAAAGCTTTAGTGACTTAAGAAAAACATCCTCTGCATTTCGTATTAGTCCAAGAAATGTAACAAATCCAAGGTCATTAAGTTTGGATATGTGCTTTTAATTTGGTATTTTAATGTGATTTAAATCAGGAAGGACCTATGTCATTTGTGTGTAAGATTTGTGTGTGATACCTTGATTTCAAACTTTCATGGGACCTGAATCTTTCAGCGCTTGGTACACTTGATCTTGTTAAAAGTGGCTTAATTGTGTATCTTTAATCCGAGTTCTCATTCCCACATAGGGAAAAGAATTCCATCTACTTTCCTTCCTTAGCTTTTGCCGCTGTTTTGTCCTTCCCCGTGTCCTATGTACGTAGGGGCTGTTAAGAAAACGGACGGTGGCTTCGGCCAAATGAGAATTTTTTTTCTTCCTGAATTGAATTTTTTTACGGTATTCCTGAGTTACCCCTTTTTACTATTTATGTAAAAGCTTTCTTGGTTTTTGGATGAGAGAAAATGATAGATTTTACAACTGTATATTTGGGAAAATATTTGCTGCTTTGAGTATACAGTAAGTTTCAGAAGCATCAGCTACTGACTTTCGGTTCCTTTCTTCAATATGAAGAATGATAAACTAATTTCAGTTCCTATTTCTGTCTCTCAGCATTCTCCATCGGAGCCCTTTCTAGAGAAACCAGTGCCGGATATGACTCAGGTTAGTGGACCGAACGCTCAGCTAGTGAAGAGTGATGATTGCCTGCCATCAGTGGAACAGCAGCCACAGCAGAAGAAGAAGAAAAAGAAAAACAACCACATTGTCGCCGAGGATCCCAGTAAAAGTTTTGGTAAAGATGACTTCCCTGGTGGGGTTGATAACCAAGAACTAAATAGGAACTCACTAGATGGGTCCCAAGAAGAGAAGAAGAAAAAGAAAAGGCCGAAGGTAAAAAAAGATCCGAAGGAACCGAAAGAACCCAAGGAGAAAAAAGAGCCCAAGGAACCCAAGACCCCGAAAGCCCCTAAGATTCCCAAAGAGCCAAAGGAAAAGAAAGCAAAAACTGCCACGCCAAAACCCAAATCCAGCAAAAAGTCAAGGTAGGCTGTGGGCGGAAACCACCAGCACCAAAACACAGTACAGAAATGAGCACCACACAGTCCCGGCCCGGGAGGGGGGGGGGGGGGGGGGGGGGGGGGGGGGGGGGGGGGGGGGGGGGCGGCACCTCGATTTTTGTCATTATTGTCGGGTTCCTTGCCCTGAAACCCAAACTAAGAAGTTAACAGATAACGCATTCTGAAATTTAGGACTCAATTACTATGAACCCTTTATTCGGATGGTACGTTGTAGACTTCACTGGGTAAAAATTCTTGATTATTTTCAAATCACTTGCTCGTATTTTTGTAGAAATTTGTCATGTAACAAATAGAACCAAATTACCAGCATAGTTATTTGTAAGTATAGGCCAGCAACCTCATTTTCAAGGACAATGCAAAACAGGGAAAGAAGGATTATAGAAGCAAGACAGGTCACTATATTTCACTAAGCTTTTCAGCCCTGTTTCCCAGAAGTTGAAACAGGAGAATTAATTCTCTCCACTTGGCGGAGTAAGCCTTCACGGGGCAGGGTTGAAATGCTAGTGGGCAACGTGGGAGAAATCAAATAGCAGTTATCCATTAGATATGCATGCAAGAGTAGCACGAGTTTTAGCTTCTAGGAAATACCCTCCTCCCTCCATCCTTCCCTCTGTACTTCCCCCGCCAACTCTGACCCCCCAGAAGGCATATTTACTCAGTAAGAAAAGCTGAGAGGAGAAGACATTGAAGACTAATTTTTTTCATTTGTACCGAACATTTCTTACAACTGTTCTGAACCAATTCCAAACATCTGAATCTATTTTTCAGAATATGGCTCATGTTAGAAAATATAGTTTCCAGATGGAAGTATGGTCAGACTCGGTTAATCTGAACCTGTTTGCAAACTCCATTAGGAGACACACTGCACGTCGTCCCTCCGTGTGCATGCATGTACACGCACACGCGTGGACACATGCACGCTCCGTTCCGTGATGGACGTGCTTGACGTGAACTTTTTGAGCTCGCTGGCCTGTCAGCCTTTGACTCGTAGACTTTCCTGTGTGAGTACGCGCGGATACAGAGAGAGGACTTGATTTCTGTGACCACAGAGGTGCTCCTGCAAAGCAAAAGAGCAAATTTGGATTTTCAACTTGTGCTAAGAATACCCAGACATCCCCAAATACGTTATTCTGTAGTGTGTTGGAAGTCTGTATCATAGTCCTTTAAAAATTTTTGTCATCGGTACTTTTTATGGTGCTGGAATAACTGAATTCTATTCAACACCTCATTCTTCTAGGTGACGATATTTGCATTTACTTAGGAACGTTCTTTGATGCCTCCGTATGTGGTCTCTTAATTGAAAACTATTATTTTTTTCTGCATATGAACACTCTTCTAATCCTGCAACCCGTTATAAATTTTGTTCATTTACTTAAGAAATATTCCATTAAGTACTTCTTCTTTGTAGGTACTGTTGTTAAGTGTTAGGATGTGAGCAAGGAACATAGGGTTAGAATTTTGGTCTGACTTACCGGGTTTTTTTTTTAGAAATATAATTGCCCAAAAGCTAAGTATTATGCTTTTGATAGGAGGAGGCATGTGCATATTTTTCCCAAGGAGAAAGAAATCGAAGCAAAATTTTAAAAGAATGTGTTGTTATTGTTTTTTAAACTTGAAATGTAAGTGTCTGTGTTCTAAAAGAGCTTCCTAGAACTCAGAAAACATATCACCAAGACTTATATATATATATATCTGCCTTTGGTTTGTATTTTTAATATTTTGAATCTAGCACCGAGTGACAAAAATTGATTAACAAAAAGAAAAAAGGACAAAAAAAAATAACCCCCACTATATCTTGGATGTTGTCATAAATTTCCAAGTGTATGATTCTCTGGTTCTGAGTCTACATGGACCTCATCCTGTCTTTAAAAACATTCTTTAGCATACCCTTAACCTCCTGTGGGATACACTGGGGCAGACGTTAAAATGCTGTATTTCACAGTGAACTTGTTAAAATGTCCCCAACAACTATAAACAAGTGTTAGGAACATAGGGCATCACATCCACTCGGTTCTGGGCACACGTGCTGCTTGATGCAAAGACAGGGCCTGTCTTCACCCACGAGGGCAAAATTCCAGGGTGGGCCTCGTCTGCGTGCTCTCAGCTGCTCATCCTGACGTTTGAATGGTCTGTGCAGAGTCAATTTTTGGCATTGCTGAATCCGAGTAATGGCTTTGCATTAGGGGCACACGCTTTTGATAGGCGGAAGGGCATGTGATCATTTTCTCCCAAGAGGAATGTTTGGTACGTTTCCCTCCCTTCATTCGCTTTAGACGCATCATCTCAGTGGATGCCTCCTATAGGCGATAGTTGTTTTTCCCCAAGTGGTGTGAAAATAATTGACTGGAATATTTCTGTTGAGTATGGAGATCTGCACGCGGAAAGAGAGACTCAAGGCATGCTGAGGGGTGCGCCGGGAGTGTTTGGAGTAACTCTGCTGGCCCCGGGGACTTGACCACTTGTAGGGCCACTTGCTGATTTACGATGAAATGCGGTGAGGAAATTTCTAAGAGCTTTCCTGTTGTTGATGGTCAGATGGGGATGCTGTCCAAGAATATGGTAACTGAGCAGAGATTTTCAGTAAAGGCACAAACCGACCCATTATTTTGTTGAGCCGCAGTTTCTATCAGCCAGATGTATTGAGTACATCGAGCTGTGGCCTCGTGTTCTGCTAAGTGTAGAAAGGAAATAGCATCCCTGAAGCACAGATCAGTAGAAGTGCATACAACTACATGTAAATTCTGAATAGCATAGCAGAATAATTATGTAAATTGAATATGCAGTGATGAAGGTAATAGGGGGTTTGGGTTATGTTAGCACTGGGGTTGAATTGCCGTAGCAGTTTGCTTTTAAGCACTGGAATAGAGCAGTGGCAATTTTGTTTTGCAAAATGTTATGTGATACCAGTTATTTCCATCCTTGAATAAGTTAACTTGATGAATTTGTTTATACAGAAAATAATTTTCCTACAGAGGGCTGAAATACAAGGGAATACACAGAAGTGAAATGAAAAATCTCGCGTAGAACTGCTCGCATCTTCCCTGTTCAGTCCTGTACGCCCTGTCATCGGTGACGTTCTACAAACAGACGCACATTGTCCTTTGAGCGGGTGATGACGCAAGTGACCCACTGGTGGTCTGGCTTGTTTTGCATCATTCACACGCTGTCCGTGATAAAGCGCATTCAGAGAGGGTGGCTGTTATCACCGGGCTGATTCTGTGTGCCTTTAGGGTGTCCTTCTCACTACCTGCCATTCTGCTTCATTCCATAAAGTGGCTGAGGCTTGAATTTGTGGCCATTCTCCATGAACTGACCCTTTGGGCCACCAAAGTCGAATCACGTTCGTCTGGTCCGCACAGGAGAACCTAAGAGAATCTGCCAGAGGCTGTTACATAGGATGGTAGAGAAACAGGAAAAGGCATTCAGCATCTCAGAAAAAGACATTTAAAATCTTAATAATGAGAAAAAGGGGCCACATTCCACTTTTCTATTAGAAATGGAAATAGTATCTTTCTTTCCCCTTTCCCTTTTATGTTAAATATGTATTTTTCTACCCATTTTTTTCCTCGTGCTCTCCCCAGGTGTCCTTATAGCTTTCAAATATTGGCAGTAAATATTGAAAATAAAAGCTAAGACATTTGTGGGCTGGAGGGGATGCCAGTTTGCATACGGAAGGATCCAAGAAGCTGGAACAGGAGGGTTTGCATTCTTCCTTTCAATGCGTTTTCTGTTGTGTATGCACGGGCCCCGTGAAATGAGAGAGAATTTGGAGGAAGCGCCTCCTTTGAATGACTCTCGAATGCTTTAGTGGTCCACTTAGCTATATAAAGATTCTTTGAATGTGCATACAGAAGGGAACTTGGCCAAAGATTGTGACTTGACTAGCGTAGCTCCCGTGAAACGAAGCCACGGAGATTGGCTGCTGGTGCAGTTTCCTTGCTCTGGTTTTCCACCCCCAGTGTTCAAGTTAGCAGGAAACTGAAATGCTGTTTCTCAGTTAAGAGTGATGAAGATATTTTATTTTTAAATGGATAATAAACACGCTGCTGCTATTTTTTGAAAAACACGAAGCACCGAAAGCACGTCAGGTCCGTTTTTTGCAAACCACACTGTCATTATCATTAATATCTATGTGGCCACTTTCTTCTGAGGGACTTTGCTTTTTCAGATACTGTCTTCTCCATTATGATCTAAGAAAGTAGCAGCATTTTACCTGAGGAATTTTTTTTTTTTTTTTTTTTTTTTTTTTAGCCAGCGAGCCCAACGTTGGTATATTTTGGCAACCCAATACGTGTTTTATAGTGTGCTCCTAGACACGTAAAAACTTTTCAGTGGAGATTAGAGACACAAAAGCAAACCATTGAACTAGTTTTGCTTAGTAAGTACAGAAAACCCAGAGAGTCAGATAGTTGTCCACCAGGTATATAGCTGATAAAATAAATGAAACCCACAGCTTTTCTTCTGCTTCCTTGTTCTTTCATTTACATCCAGTGATTTAGTTTTGACCCACGTCATTGGATAATTGAAAATACTGAATTAAGTGTTTTGGACACCGTGCCTCCAGAAGAGGATGCAGACTTTTTAAACATATGGTCACAAAATGGACTTTGAGCCCTTTGAGGATTGGAGGGGAACAAGGGAGAAAAGGCACCTGTGAGCATCGTGTCTCTACCCGCCGGCCTGCCCTGCCAGGTCTCTGGTTCATTAACAAGCTCCAGGTCAGGGATGGGACCAGGTGACCCTTTCCTGGTCTCAAAGGTTACCTTCTCTTTGAAAAGGGGGCCATTAGGTTTTTTTCATCCCAAATCCTTTCTTCCTTCAGGATGGCCACCTCAGAAATCTTTCTCTTGCTGGTGACAGGCCACGTTATGTCCCTTCCTCTGTCTGATTTGTCTTAATCTGCTGAATGGGCAGGCAGGGAGAGTCGTCAGCCGCTCTTTAGTACAGACCCTGCTGTCTTTAGC